TTTTTACGTTTAAAAGCATTTTTTCTACCTCTTCCGACGAAAAAATGCTTTTAAAAGTAAAAAAAAAAAAAAGCCTATGATGAACGGGTGGCTCAGCTGGGATCGTCAGAGGTCTTTCAAAGCATTTTTTTCTGTAACCTCTTGGCCAAAGAGGTGGTTTAAAAAATGCTTTGAAAAGTCTCTGATGATCCCAGTTGAGTTGCCTGATCGGCAGAGGCTTTTCAAAACATTAGAAAAAATGCTTTGAAAAGTTAAAAAAAAAGTTGGCCATGCCCACCCAGTCACATTACCCCCCCCCACCAAGCCACGCCCACAAAACTGGTAGTAACAAATTTTTTTACATTTCACCCCTGTTCTGGGCCCACCGAAAGTCGGGAAACAGGCTGTTTCCAGCCTCCAGAGGGCCTCCAGGGTGGGTGGCAAGGCTCATTCTTCGCTCTCCCCAGGCTCTTAGAAAGCTTCTGGAGCCTGGGGAGGGCGAAAAATGGTCCTACCGTGCCATCGCATGCCAAAAGTGGGGGGAGCACGCGCGCATGCACAGGGGGGCAGGGGGCATAGAATTCTGGGTGTGGGCACGTACGCACGTGACACCCCTCCCCCACTCCCCCTGCTTTTGGCACGCAATGGCAAAAAGGTTAGCGATCTCTGGGTTAACCCATAAATAAAGAGCATCAGTATTTGTATTTTTTTTTCTTTAAAAAAAATGATACCTTCCTAATTTTAAAGTCAAGTGGATGTTTTGTTTTGTTTTTTTTAAATTTGATTTATATGCCTCCCTTCTCCAGAGACTCAGGGCGGCTTACAATGTGCTCAGCAATAGCCTTCATCCTTTTGTATATTTATACAAAGTCAGCTTATTGCCCCCACAACTGGGTCTTCAATTCACCTACCTTAGAAAGGATGGAAGGCTGAGTCAACCTTGAGCCTGGCGAGATTCGAACCTGCAGTAATTGCAGGCAGCTGCAATTAATAACAGGATGCTTTAGACCACTGTACTACCAAGGCTCTTGTTTCAGTGATGGGAAATCCCACACAGCCAGTCGCCTTTCATATTTTAAATTCTTATCAAGGAGTAATAACCAGGGTATTTTTTTTTTTTAAAAAAAAGTCAAAATGTTGGCCACCGGAATGCTATTTATCTCCATCTGCGACATTCTGATTTCCATGCTGGTTATCTTAGCTTTTTCAATGTCACTTTCACCTTACTATATTTACATCACCTTCATTGTCTTCGTGTTAATGGCAGTCTTGTTTATAAAACGCATTGTTTTTGTTTTGTTTAGTTTATTTTTAAAGCGAAGGTGGTCTTCAGTGGAACAGTTGTAAACTTTGTCGTATATAGGTTTTGTGAGAGTCTATCATTGCAAAAAAGAATTAGTTTGATAAGAGTGCTTAAAGCACTAGAGTAAGGACCAGGGAAATGTGAATTCTAGTTCCACCTTAGTCACCAAGCCAGCTAGGTGACTTTGGGCCAATATTTCTATCTCAGTCCTAGGAAGGAGGCAAGAATAAGTTTGGTACAGTGCTTAAAAGCATTGAGTAGGGACCAGGAGACTGTGAATTCTAGTTCCACCAAAGGTGATTTTGGGCCAATATTTCTATCTCAGTCCTAGGAAGGAGGCAAGAATAAGTTTGGTACAGTGCTTAAAGCATTGACCATTGACCATAGGGACCAGGGGACTGTGAATTCTAGTCCCACCTTAGTCACCGAGCCAGCTAAGTGACTTTGGGCCAATCTTTCTATCTCAGTCCTAGAAAGGAGGCAAGGAGAAGCCAACTCTTGCCAAGAAAACTGTAGGGACCAGTCCTGGCAGTCACTAGGAGTCAATACTTCCTCAAAGGGACAAAAAAAATTATAATCCAAAAAACAAACCAGTTTGTTTAGCAGTTGAGTGAACCCAACTACAGACAAGAACAGCTTCACTTCCCAAAAAATGCATACATTTAATAGATGAGCTAAACTCTAGTCCTGAAGCTTCATTAGACTAAATTTGGACTTAATTACGTGGCTAATAGAGGAAGGCATGAGCTGAGGAGGAGAACTGAGCAAATTTGATCCAGCGATTAGAGTACCAGGTTAAGAACCGGGTGACTTTGAGTTCTAGTCCTACTTTTGGCACAAAGCCAGCCAGATGATCTTGCGCCAGTCACTCTCTCTTAGCCCTAGGAAGGAGGCAAGGGCCAACCATTTCAGAAATCTTGCCAAAATTGTTAGTGACGGGAATCACCTTGATTTCAAGGTGTGTACACATACACACACACAGGGACGCGGTGGCTCAGTGGCGAAGACGCTGAGCTTGTCGATCGAAAGGTCGGCAGTTCAGTGGTTCAAATCCTGAGTGCCACGTAATGGGGTGAGCTCCTGTGACTTGTCCCAGCTTCTGCCAACTAGCAGTTCAAAAGCAGGTAAAAAATGCAAGTAGAATAATAGGGACATCTTTGGTGGGTGGGAAGGGAACAGCGTTCTGTGCACCTTTGGCGTTGAGTCATGCCGGCCACATGACCACGGAGACATCTTCAGACAGCGCTGGCTTTTCGGCTTTGAAACGGAGATGAGCACCGCCCCCTAGAGTCGGGAACGACTAACACGCATGTGCGGGAGAAGCTTTACCTTTACCTTACACACACACACACACGCACACAAGCCATTAAAATAATCTCATAGGCACACACTGCAGATAGCAATTATTTTTTTTTCTCTTTTGATTTGGAAGGCAATAAATGCAAAAGTGCAACAACGCACACCATGGTAGGGTATTTAAAAAAGCATCGGAACAGTCCAAGTCAAAGTTACATTTCCAGCGGATTTAAAGTTACTTTTATTCATTTAGGAAAAAAGAAAAAAAAAATAAGCATACCCTCCCAGCTGCAGCCTTCAAGCTTCATCAGGTCCGTTAACAAACGAAACAACACATTCGTCAAACAAACTGTCCCAGATTGGTTTGCTCTGTGTTCCTGAATTAATGCCTTGCAGTTCTCCCAACTCATTCGGTTAATTAACTGTATGTCAATGTTCTGTATGCAGTCCCTAATTTACTGGTCTGCATAAGATGCTACATGAATTCAGCTATGGATTCTGCATTCATATTACGGTAGCCTTTCTGAATCTATAGCCGGGGTGAAATCCAGTAGGTTCTGACAGGTTCTGGAGAACTGGTAGTGGAAATTTTGAGCAGTTTGGAGAACCGGCAAATACCACCTCTGGCTGGCCCCAGAGTGGGGTGGGAATGGAGATTTTGCAATATCCTTCCCCCAGGAGTGGGGAGGGAATGGGGATTTTGCAGTATCCTTCCCCCAGGAGTGGGGAGGGAATGGGGATTTTGCAATATCCTTTCCCCAGGAGTGGGGAGGGAATGGGGATTTTGCAATATCCTTCCCCCAGGAGTGGGGAGGGAATGGGGATTTTGCAGTATCCTTCCCCCAGGAGTGGGGAGGGAATGGGGATTTTGCAATATCCTTTCCCAGGAGTGGGGAGGGAATGGGGACTTTGCAGTATTCTTCCTCCAGGAGTGGGGAGGGAATGGGGACTTTGCAGTATCCTTCCCCCAGGAGAATATTCTTCCCCCAGGAGTGGGAGGGAATGGAGATTTTGCAATATCCTTCCCCAGGAGTGGGGAGGGAATGGGGATTTTACAATATCCTTCCCCTGCCACACCCACCAAGCCATACCATGCCCACCAAGCGACGCCCACAGAACCAGTAGTAAAAAAAATTTCATTTCACCACTGATCTATAGGTGTACACTATGTTCATGCACAGGAGGAGGAGAATGCAGGGTTCTACCTTCCATCGATTTTTCAGTGTTCAAAACTCCAAATCTTTTCCTCTTTACATCCCACCCCCCAGGATTCCATAATGAAAATGTGTGATTCTTATCCACAGCATATTACAGGTAGTCCACAACCTATGACCATAATTGTGCGTGGAATTACGGTCATAAGTTGTTACAGTCATGAAGCAGATCATCCCATGACCATGCCTGACTTTACGAGTTTATTTGCGTCGGTTGTTAAGCAAATGCTGCAGTCCTTAAGTGAGTCCATTTTATATAATGTGCATTTTTTTTTGCTGGAAACCAGAAGTCAATGCCGGGAACCAGACAACAATGTTGAAAATCAGTCACATGACCATGAGACAGTGCCAGTGGCCTTAAATATGAGCTGATTGTCAAGTGTCCAAACCAGGGGTGAAATGCTCCCGGTTCGGACCGGATCGCCCGATCCAGTAGCAGTGGCGGCAGGTGGCTCGGAGAACCAGTAGCAAAAATCCCTGCCCCCCCACCCATGCCCAGCTGAGCTGCGCGATCATCAGAGGCTTTTTTTATTTTATTTTTAAAAGCATTTTTTCTACAACCTCTTCGGCCGAAAAAATGCTTTTAAAAGTTTTTTTAAAAGCTTCTGACGATCAGGCAACTCAGCTGGGATCATCAGAGGCTTTTAAAAGCATTTTTTCTACAACCTCTTCAGCTGAAGAGGTTGTAGAAAAAATGGTTTTAAAAGTTTTTTTAAAAAAGTTGCCCACACCCACTGTCACATTACCCTTCCCCCACCAAGCCACACTCACAGAACCGGTAGTAACAAATCTTACATTTCACCCACTAATTCAAACTGCAATCACATTACTGCTGGGGGGGGGAGGGAAGGGGGGGGCTACAGTTCTTCCAACTTCAAAATTGGGTCCTCAATACCTTTGGGGGAGGTCCGTCATAAATTTGAATGGTTCGCTAAGCAAGGACTGCATGTATGATAGGCAGCTCAATATATTTCACCGTTTTCTTGGAGTTGCGTCCTGTAGAGTAGGCGTTTTGCAACCACAACAATTTCAAGAAGTGTGGGATTCATCTCCCAGAATTCCCCAGCAAGGATGCTTAGTCCACAAACAGCATGCTGGCTGTGGGGAATTCTGGGTGTTGAAGTCCACACGTCTTTCCAAAGTTGTGAAATTGGGAAATTTCACTGCTACGGAGAAAGAGCGACAAGCGAAATATGAGCCTCTCTGGGTAAAATTTCTCCTTCATTCATGTTTATTGAGGAACAGCCCTAGTACACAGGTGAAACTCTTAATTAGTTTGCATGCAAAGGCACAGCTAATGCAACCTGCAGATAGATTTCTCCTCTCCAAGTCACCATATTTGGTATAAAATGCAGGGCTCCCCAACCATGGAAACTGATTTAAATCTTTAATTTCAGCAGTGGGTTGGTATTCTTAAAAAAAATAATAATAATCCAGCACAAACTCCCCAACAGAAATTTCCAGGGAAAGAAATACACAATTTCCTGAGAGGGAATAGTGCAAATATGGTCCACAGTGGCCTTTGGCGGCAGCTGAGAACTTCCCACTTGAACTGAGGTTTCCAGCAGAAACAGGAACCGTTTTTCATTCGCCTGTCCAGAGTCAAAAAGTCTCCAAGCTATTTGAAGAAGAGATCTTCCCTTAAAAGAGATCTACCTACTTTGCAACAATCCCTTTAAAAAAAAAAATCAAATCCTGCCTTGGATGTGAACTAATCTTTTGGGTGTCCATTCACTGAGCTTCTGCCATGACTATGGAGGCTGTTCCATTAGAGGATAAACCACCTTGGATGGAAGATCGGAGATTCTGAAGCCAACACCAAATATCAAGATTCGTGAAGTCCATCCTCATCTCCGTGGGATCCCAGCAGCTGCAGGAATCTGCCTAACCTGGTGAGGATTGGCAAACATACATTGCATGGGCTGATGGGCTCAACAGTGGTAGGAAACCTACATTCAAAATCAAAGAATTCAGACCCTCAAATAAAAGAAAATGCTAACTGGCCAAACAAGGAAACAAACCAGGTTCCTTAATTCTTCTCAGGCCGGTTCCGGTTCAGGACAGCTTTGGGAGCAAATTCCAGCTTGTCCTTCAGACTGACCACTTGGGTAAGGTCTTTCCCAACGCTCTCTTGGAGCTTACGGTCCTCGCGTCGTTCCGAAATGCTCTTCTCGTCCTCGGGGGTCTGTGGAGGGGGCTTGCCCCGGATGAACCACTCAAGGTTGTAGCCCACTACCCCGACCACAAAGGCTACGGGGAAGGTGATGTAAGGAGCATAGGTTCGTATGCCCGCCCAGAAAATGGGCCACATGACTCCAGCAGGTTCTGTAGAAGTGAAGGAAGACACGGTTCAAGGACCAGCAACTCCCACCAAACCTATACAGGTAGTCCTCGACTTACAACGATTCACTGAGTGGCCGTTCAAAGTTACAACAGCATTGAAAAAAAAGGGACTGGTGACCAGTTTTTTCAGAGTTACGAGCCCCACGATCCTGTGATCAAAATTCAGATGCTCGGCAACTGGTTCATAGTTATGACCGTTGCTGTGTCCCCAAGGTCAAGTGATCCCCTCCTGCGACCTTCTGACAAGCAAAGTCCACGGGGAAACCAGATTCACTTAACAACCGGGTGGCTAACTTATCCACCGCAGTGATTCACTTAACAACTGTGGTTGAAAGAAAGGTCGTTAAAAATGGAGCAGAACTCACTGAACAAACGTCTCACCTAACCGCAGGAATTTTGGGCTCAATTATGGCTGTAAGTCGAGGATTGCCTGTAGTGACATTCGCGGCATGCTCAGAAAAATGGAACTGCATAGGGAAAACTATCTATATTCTTCAGCGATGATCAGTCTGGCCAGAAATCCCAATTTTAAGCGCCTGCTTTAAGGCATCCATGGGGTCTTTGGTGCTCTCTGAGCTTGGTAGTTTTTGAATTAGAATTAGAATTAGAATTAGAATTAGAATTAGAATTAGAATTAGAATTAGAATTAGAATTAGAATTAGAACTAGAATTTTCTTGCAGATGTTCCATTGGTTCATCCATCTATAGCAGTGTTTCTCAACCTTGGCAGCTTGAAGATGGATGGACTTCAACTCCCAGAATCCCCCAGCCAGCGCTGCTGGCTGGGGGATTCTGGGAGTTGAAGTCCATCCATCTTCAAGCTTCCAAGGTTGAGAAACACTGATCTACAGTATCTCGTAGATACTCATTGCTCCTCCATCTAAGCCCTTGCTGCACAAGTGGCAAGCACACTTCGAATCAAATAACCCTTTGATTTATTAGCAAAAGAGAATGCAAGAAGCTGGAAGTCCGCTTCGCTTTTAATTTTGAAACATTTAAGGGTGGGAAGAAATCAGGGGTGGGTTGCTACCGGTTCTCCCAGGTTCTGGAGAACCAGTAGTGGAAATTTTGAGTAGTTCGAGAACCGGTAAATGCCACCTCTGCCTGGCCCCTCCCCCAATCTATTCGCTGCCTCCCCAGTCCCAGCTGATTGGCTAGAAGGAAAAAAATCAGGGCTCACTTGACAAAGAACAGAGAAAAAAAAAAAGACACCGTAGCTTTAAATTGAGAAGCCAAGAAGCCTCCCAACTGATCGGCTAGAACCGATCCACTCCTTGTAAACCGCTCAGTGGTGGTAGATTGGCAATTGAAGCCAAGAGGCCTGAAAATGGTTTCTGATGCTCTCGGTGGTGGCAGAGCGGCAAAAAACTGTTTAAACTCTTGCCGCAGCACTTCAAAGGGCCGCCCTACAGCTGATCAGCAGTAAAAGGCAGTGTGGTGGTCAGGGTGGATTTGATTTAAATCGAGCTGATTTAAATCACAATTTAAATCATGATTTAAATCACTGGTAAAAAGGCTCGATTTAAATCAACTCAATTTAAATCATAATTGTTAAAGAGCAACTGTCATCTCTGCTACTCCTTTGACCCACTGTTGACTCACCGATAGTCCCAGTGTTGCAGAATATACAGCCTCATGCTACATAACTAAGCTCCATTTCATGCTAAATAAACTAAATTATTTATGTATCTTAAATAGAAAACTATCTGACGATAGATTTTTACCCCAAAAGTTTTTTATTAAAATAAATTTGATAAAAATAAAAAAAAATCCGATTTCAATCAAAAAAATCCGATTTAAATCAAAAAAATCCGATTTCAATCAAAAAAATCTGATTTTTTTTATTTTTTTTAAACACATCATTGATTTTTATCCACCCTGGTGGTGGTAGCTCCAAAAACAAATGAGTAGACCGGTATGGCTCTGCAAGCAATTAAAAGCCTGGTAGACCAGTACCTCTGCTAAATCCTAAAGAATTATTTGTCACATGACCATCAAACCACGCCCACAAAATAAGCCACGCCTACAGAACCGGTAGTAAAAAAATTTAGACCCCACCCCTGGAAGAAATCTGGCGATCACTAAGAGTGGTAGCGGGACTGGTATACCTCCGTATCTGCCCCCTTAATTTGGCAGGAAGCTTGCCTTTAAGGCATTATCGGTAGGGGCACAATTTCAACAAACCACGGCTTTTCGGAGACTCGGGCCAAGAATCCATTTTGCTGGGAAAAGGGGTATTTATCTGCAGGTGATTGAATTCCCCGGGGAGATGACAAAACAACGACGGAGTGTTTGTGATAGCACTTAAAAAAAACTAACCCTAACTTTATTGGTCTTTAAAAAGCCACAAGGCTCTTGATTGGTTTTCCCTGGGTAGCTATTTGAAATGTCATTTTGTCCCCTGGGCTCTTTCTTTGCAGAGAGCCAGAAATCAAAAGCACTTTATTTAAGCAGAATTATCTCTTGCTTGCTTGCTTGGCTCCAAAGTCTTATTGCAAACAAACACACTCCCAGTTCTCCCGGTGGCCTCTCGCCCTACTTGAGCAAGGCAGAGGCTCTGTTAGCCCTACAAGGTAGGCCAGACTGGAAAACCGAGGTTGTGAATGTTCATACAGGGTAGTCCTTGACTTACAACAGTTCGTTTAATGACCGAAGTTACAACAGAGTGAAAAAAAGCAACTTACGACCGTTTTTTTTCACTCTTGCCACCATTGCAGCATCCCCATGGTCACGTGATCAAAATTGCTTGCAACTGACTTGTACTTATGACGGTTGCAGTGTCCACAGGTCACGTGATGCCCTTTGGCGACCTTCTGACCAGCAAAGCAGGGGTGAAATGCTCCCGGTTCGGACCGGATCGCCCGATCCGGTAGCGATGGAGGCGGGTGGTTCGGAGAACCGGTAGCAAAAATCCCTGCCCCCCCACCCCCCATGCCCAGCTGAGCCACACAATCATCAGAGGCTTTTTTTTTTACTTTTAAAAGCATTTTTTCTACAACCTCTTCAGCCGAAAAAATGTTTTTTTAAAAAAAACCTCTGATGATCGCGCGGCTCAGCTTGGATCGCCAGAGCCTTTTGAAAGCATTTTTAACAACCTCTTCGCCTAAGAGGTTGTAGAAAAAATGGTTTTAAAAGTAAAAAAAAAAAAAAAAAGGCCACGCCCACCCAGTCACATTATCCCCCCACCACCAAGCCACGCCCACAGAACCGGTAGTAACAAATTTTAAATTTCATCACTGCAGCAAAGACAATGGGGAAGCCAGATTCACTTAACAGTCGTGTTACTACCTTAACAACTGCAGTGATTCACTCAACAACTACGGCAGGAAATATCGTTCAATGGGGCAAAACTTACTTAACTGTCTCGCTTAGCAAACCGAAATTTTGGGTTGAATTGTGGTTGTAAGCCGAGGACTACCTGTACTGCTTTTATTATACAGTAGTTATCGTAAACAGAATTTTGCCAATCTGAGCGTGCCTCCCTCCCGTTATCTTTTTGAGAACTGAGGAGGGAGGGGGAATCTGGCTGGGGCGCTTTCTCAAATTACATTCCTAACTTGGACTCAAATTTCTTTTATCTTGAGGTCATCTTGGTGGTGCCTCTGCCTCCCGTTCCTCTAAAGTTATTCCAATTCTCCAGGCAATAAACACATAAAGGTAAACCCTTGACTTATAATCGTTCATTTAGCAATCGTACGATTTACAACAACACTGCAAAAAGTGACTCACGACTGGTCTCATACTTACGACCATCGCAGCATTTCCAGGGACACATAATCAAAATACGGGCACTTATAGCAATCCACATGTGTTTAGGAGGGTCGCACTGTCCAGGTTGCTGTGATCCCCATTTGTGACCTTCCCAACTGACTTCCGACATGGAAAGTCAACGGGGGAAGCCGGATCTGCTTAAGGACCACATAGGAGTCACTTAACAACTGCAGTGATTTGATAATATCTGTGACTCACTTAACAATTACCCTGCTCAGCAATAGAAATTTTGGTCTACCTGTACATCTTCCTCTCCCTTTCCCCACCCAGGAATTTCACTCGTTCTCTTGGGAATCCTGCACTCCCACCTCACACAGGATGAGACTTAATTAAGATAAGGTGCCTTATGGTTTCCTTACATAAGGACAAGTAATGGGAGCTCATCCCGTTACTCGGCACTAGGGATTTGAACTGCTGAACTGCCGACCTTTCGATCAAAAGCTCAGCGTCTTACCCACTAAGCCATCGCGTCCCTTCGACAGCTGTTAAGGTCCCAAATTATCCGGGACTTTTTAAAGCAAGCACCTGCATCCTGTACTGTATTTGGAAATGTACCGGAAACCTAAGTTTCTGTTTAAGGACAGCTAATTAGATTCCCAGTAATAATTCCAACATGCAGGGAAGTTGGAATTTTCAGGAAAAATAATGATTTATTTGTAAAATTATCTGAGCACAGATAATCCAAGAAGGACGGCAATGTCACCACCTCTTTAGACTAGCATTTCTCAACCTTAGCAACTTTCAAGATATATGGACTTCAATTCTCAGAATTCCCCAGCCAGCCATGCTGAAATCCACTCATCTTAAAGTTGCCAAGTTTGAGAAACGAAGAACTATGTCACAACTTTGATCTAACACCAGGGGTGAAATGCTCCCGGTTCGGACCGGATCACCCGATCTGGTAGCAATGGCGGCGGGTGGTTCGGAGAACTGGTAGCAAAAATCCCTGCCCCCCCCTCCACATGCCCAGCTGAGCTACATGATAATCAGAGGCTTTTTTAAAAAAAAAAATTAAAAGCATTTTTTCTACAACCTCTTCGGCCAAAAAAATGCTTTTAAAAGTAAAAAAAATAAGCCTCTGATGATCGCGCGGCTCAGCTGGGATCGTCAGAGGCTTTTTAAAAAGAAAAAAAATGCTTTTTAAAGCCTCTGACGATCCCAGCTGAGTTGCCTGATCGTCCGAGGCTTTTAAAAGTGTTTTTTTTACAACC